TGATTCATCCTGCAAAAAAAGACATTTATGAGCTGCATTTTAAGAAAAATTTGAAGGGTTTGTCATCTCGTAACATAATTTCACGTCTATAGTCACAGCAAGCCTAGCAAACCCCATGACTACCTGTATGAGGTCCCAATCAGTGTGGGCATCTTCCTAATATAAAAATCCAGGTGGATGTGTCATAAACATATTCCCCCTACTCAGAGTTTTATGAAAGTGGAAACCAGCCATTGAGGCCAAAATCAATTTTTGTACTAGGATATGCTTTTAATGCTCAACATGGGAGTCTATGGGCATTGACTCCTTTTTAGTACCAGCCCCAAGTGACACTTAGAGGAACTCCAAGACTGAGACTGCATTTTATTAAAATACCTCAATGTCATTTGGATCTGATTTGCAAAAATTCACATTTTGTTTTGTTGTTGTTGTTGTTTGACATTTCTAAAAATCTAATTGAATATATCTAAGAGATGTGAGACTTTACATTTTGGTTACAGGAGAGCAGAAAAACTGAAACTCAACAGAAAGGGGGAGATCTAGTCAGTCACTTACAGATATTCTATTTTACACAGATGGAAAAATATGTTAGATAAATGATATCAAAAGCCTGCAACAACTAGTCAGCTAATTTATTGAAATAACAACATCAAGTCAGTGTTTGATGGATGCCAGACTGTGTCTGTGTCCTTTTCTCTGAGATCAGCATCACTTGGGCTCGAATGACCCCGACCTTAACTTTAAAACTAAGCCTAACTCTCAAAAAGTTCTTGTTAAAGTTTTAAATCCCAAAGCAAGGAGCGACCAAACTGTCTTAAATTTTCAAAAATGTCCCTATAAAGGCATTGTTCCTCAGAAAGTCAGACACAGCAGAACAGATACACGCCCATTCGTGTGAGTGGGCGTGAAGGTATGCGCGTGTAGCAGTGGACATTCTCACGTACACATTCAATTCTTCCTTCACTCCTCCTCAACACACACTAAAGCTCACTCACTCACATACAGTATCCTCATTACACACACACACACACACACACACACACACACACACACATTCACGTGCTGCGGTGTACAGTAAGCTCTTATCACATGTTTGTGTGTGTACGTGTTATCAGATAGAACTTCTTGTGAAAACGGGTCAGCCTGGTTACAACACACACACACACACACACAC